GCTCTCTCCCGAAACGCCCGCGCACAGAATGACCCTAAACTCCCTGGCCCTAGATCCCAAAACTAAGCCCTAAACGTAACCAAACCGTCGGTATTCAATTAAGCAGGAGGAAAATGGCTTGTAGAAAAAGCACCGTCAAACCAAGCAAGCAAGAAGGCCGCAACTCCTTCGTTTCGAAAACCCCTCAACCCTTCAACTCCTAAAGCCATGAACCCCAAACCCAAACCCTAAACCCTAAACCCCCTCACGCCGTGAACGTCAAACCCTAAACCCCTAGCCCGTAAACTCCTAAAACCCTAAACCCCAAACCCTAAACTTCCTTAAACTTCCCTAAACCTCCCTAAACTTCCCGAAACCCCCGAAACCCTAAACCCAAAGCCCTAAGCCCCAAACCGTAAACCCTACGCTGTTTCGTTGCTGCCTGGAGAGACTCACACAGGGGTGAGTCCCGCCTCTGGCCTGGTGAGTGCTTCGCGTTTCAGAGACTAAGGTATTTAGGGTTGAGGCTTCAGGGTTTAGAGGTTTTAGGGCTTTAGGGTTTTAGGGGTTTAAGGTTTAGGGTTTAGGCTTTAGGCTTTAGGGTTGGGGGTTTAGGGTTTAGGCTTTAGGGTTTAGGGGTTCCTGGGAAAATGGTCTGTAAGGGTTTATAGAGGGTTTAGGGTTTGGGGTTTCAGAGGGTTTGGGATTTAGGGGGTGGGGTTAGGGTTATCAGAGAATGAGATGTTCCGGGAGCAGGGCTCAGGGTTGAGGGTTTCAGAGAATCACGGACGAGTAGAGTTTAGGGCTTAGATTTTCAGGGTATAGGGGGCTCAGCGGGTTTCGGGGTTGGGGTTTAGGGTCAGGACCGTTTAGAGTTTGGGGCGCAAGAGCCGAGGTTCACCGTCATTCTGTATCCTAGCGTCGCCGCCAAAACGAATGCCGTTTGTTCTGAAACCAGCCTGCTTCGAGTTGCAAGTTTTCACTCCCATGGACAGCGCTGTCCGCGGAAGGGATTTGAACTTCCGAACGGAGCCTCCGCCGAGTAGATCAAGACCGTCCTCTCCTTATCCAGCAGTCTTGCCGCATGTGCCGTAAGATTCGCCTCAACCCCGCCCCCTCCTTCTGTTATGCACAGGAGGCGGATCCACTCAGATGCTGCTCGCTTTTCAGCGCTTCTGTTCGTCCGAATGATATCCTATTTTCTGGAGGTGAGGTTCGTGGACGTGTACTGGTGGCAACCCTAAGCCCGATGTCCAGTTCCTAAACCCCAAGCCCAGACACGACCTACGTTGCAAGGAAAAGTCCACAAGTCTCATCTCATCTTGCTCGGCGTGACTTTTCCACTTTATGATCGAGCAAAGGCGAGGGCACTTTGCAGGCCCAAGCAGAAACCTTGGATTCCCTGCATTCCAGCTCCGGGAGCGTCGCAAGTTTGTCCGTTCATCCTAGTATGACTTCCTTCAGGAAGAATTCTTTAAACCTGGCTGTCTGCCCAAAAGTGCAGATCCTTGTGATCCTGGCGCGGCTGCGGTGCCTCGTCACTGCAAGCACAGCTACGGATCACTAGCCACTAGCCAGACCTAGTGTGCCAGATCGGCAACTGATTCTGACTCAAGCTTCTGTCAAAAACCCGCGCCAGTTGCAAATGCCTGTCAACGCTTACAGGAACTCTGTCGGAATTGGGTTTTAGGTGCCAGAGTGAAGTGCAAGAGGACAGAAGCTGGGCACGAGGGTTGGTGGCCATGCGAACGGCTCCCAGATGAAATTTGAAATTTACCACGTCGAGCATCGATCAGGAATCACAGCAGTGTCTCGGCTCTTACCAGCCACTGAGCTGTGGCACTGGAATGGCTACTACAGCAAACCCTAAACCCTAAACCCTAAACCCTAAACCTTAAACCTTAAACCCTAAACCCTAAACCCTAAACCGCCTGATATGCATAACACTGAGCTGCCAGGTCCCTGCCAACACGATGTAGGTTTTTGGGCTTTTTTTTTAGGTTTTTTTTTAGGGTTGTTTTAGGGTTTTGTAAGGTTTTTTTTTAGGGTTTAGGGGTTTAGGATTAGGGTTTAAGGGTTAATGGTGCAGCTTGATTCCACTTGGGCGGTAGAGCGCAAGCAAGGATTCACTCACACAGGCATCTGAACCGAAGTATCAGAAGACCTCCGAGATCTCGAACAAGTCTGCCAGCAAAAGGCAAGGCAATCTGCATGCATATCCATCATAGAACAGTGGTCCGTTTGAGCATGGCCTTGACTTCCTGTCGCTGGTCTCTGTAGCGCAACTTGTTATGTCAGCTTCATTTTGTCTTGATGGTATCGTCGATAAGCTGGGGCGGGTTCTGATATCATGCCGCTCTACTTGGCTTGCTGCTGATTCTAGTACAGACCACTGTACAGACCGATGCTCCCGAATATCTAATTTGAGTTTTGCTTGGCATGTTGTTTCACCTTCTTCGCCTCGATGCATGCAACCGGCATGCAGAAACACTCTGAGCTTGACTCGGGAGTTTAGGGTTTAGGGTTTAGGGTTGTCAAAGCACGCCTTGTGGAAGAGTTGTCGGCATTTATGGGCGCGATGGCGTCGAGCTCATCATCTTCAGGCACACTACACCATACATTTCTGCTGTGAGCCGCTTGGGCAGCTTTTTCCAAGGACCAGGCTGGCAGTCAGAATGTGCCATCTTGATGATGTCATGAATTCCTTATTTTTTCCCTCGAGAAAAGTCGCTGCGTGGCCTTTCAAGCACAGCAAGTTGTGCTCAAGTTGCCGCCTGCTTCTGCTTCGCTCTGCCTGCATTTCATCCGGCAGAGTGGGGCATTCAAAAGCAGCTGATGCGTTAAAGGCTTGCGTCGCAGAGCAACTTCCCCTGGCTGATCAGCAATGTCACCGACAAGGACCTGATTCGATAGTCGGCGTGCAGTTTCCGAATCGGTCGGTTAGGGTGAGGCTCCAGGGACCTATGCCTATGCCCCGAATGAGTCCCACGTTGGCAGAGAGAGTGTTCGCTGTGCCTGAGACCAACTTTGCCCCCTGAAGAAAACGGGCCGGCCGTTGGCCAACGGGATTGTCACTCGCATGATGGACTTCCACGGCCGCAAGGCCCGGACAAGCGAGGCTTGAAGCTTAAACCCCAAACTCTAAACACCCCAAACCCCAGGAAACCAGCACCTTAAACCCGAAACCCTCAACAAGTACCTTAAACCCTAAACCCTAAAAGGAGCACCCCCCAAGCCCTAAACGTAAAGCCGTAAAGCCGTGGTGGTTTTCCCGGCAAAACCGGGGGTTTTCCTGAGGTTGGCCTCATCGGTCTGGCCCCGCTCCCGGGGGGGGGGGTCACCCTTGTAGTGTTCAAGGGTTTAGGGTTTAGAGTTTAGGTGTTAAGGGTTTAGAGTGGGTTACGGTTTAGAGCTTAGGGGTTTAGGGTTTGTTTTGCTTACGGTTTAGAGTTTAGGGGTTTAGGGTTTGGGGTGGGTTACGGTTTAGAGTTTAGGAGTTTAGGGTTGAGGGTTGAGGGGTTTAGGGTTTAGAGCTTTCGGGCTTAGGGTTTCAGGTTATGTTTTGCGGTGTCAAAGTAGACAAGAGTATGGTATAATGGGTGTCTACTATACGAGGCTAAATTTCACTCTCCACGGTTGAGCCTTGTGCAGACCTTTGCCTAGCACATAAGCTCTTGAATTCACATGCAAACGGCTTCACTGGCGTTCCTCTGAGGCCACCCAGGCAAAACAGAATGACCTAACAAGTCAAACAAACCCACCGCGCAGCTACAAGCTGGTAGTGTGCACTCGGGTGTGCAAAATCTGAGCCGTTCAAGTCCATGCAGGGGAGGTCATAACACCTCAAAAACGCAAGGTACGCCATCCATCCAGCAAGTCTTCCTTTCAGGTATTCTGGGTACGCACTTTACGTATAAAGGCAAGCGACGCAGGAGAAGCTGGGCGATTGCAGCGGTCGCACCTGAAAGTTGTCTGAGCCACATGGGGAATGGCAGCCTACCTAAGGCAGCAAGGTTCCCCTAATGCGGTCACCAAGAGAGTAAGCCGTAGTTGCCGGGACCCCCAAACATATGCCACACGATCCATGCAGTGAGGGCGTGTACAACGATACGGCACACGTGAAAGGGAAACATCTGCCCGACATGAACACAATCCATGCCAATAATCCAATCGCTCTCATTAACTTGCTCAGGAACTGCCAGGTCGGCAAGAGGGAGTCGGGGTGGAGTCGTTGCCCGCAGTACTGTGCTGGTCCAGGAGGTCAATCCAGTATCCTCTGGCAGCGGTTTTCTGAATACTTGCACACAAGTTTCATGTTGATTTTCCAGCAGTAGGCCGCGAAGGCCTCGCCGGGGATGCTCGTTGGCAAATCGAAGCACCTGCGTGTGCCGCAGGATGTAGTAGTCTGCCAAGGTGTGCATGACCACCTGCTGGACTCTGCATACGCGAGCGATCGGGGCCATGAACGTCCCGACGACAGGGACCCCAACAATCAACCAGCCCCAGTAGAACAGAATCCACCAGTCCATCCAGGAAGGGTTGGCATTCTTGCTGTCGTTTGGCCGCCGATTTTCCTAGGATTCAGTGTCGAAGGCATTCCCGTTGAGGTGATTCAAGTGGTAACCGCCCCACAAAACAATCACGTAGACCAAGGCTCATCCAGGGCGAGTAAGCATCATCACCACGTTGCCGCATACGCAGATGCTGAGAGACGGTCATGATTCCGAACTCCAAGCTTGCCACGACAGAGAGCGTGTCACAGACCGTGATGAGGACAATCACCGAAGTGGCGGTGTTGGTCAGCTCATCTTCGGTCAGGGTGCCGTGGAGCCCCGCAGGGCCATACAAGGGGGTTTAGGGCTTCGCAATCTGCGAAAGTGCAGTGTTACTGTATAGTTGTGGTATACTATACTAGATTGATTAGTCTATACTATAATATAGTATATTACACTATACTATGCGTTGTATCCTTGGACTGCTTTGGGCTTTGGTGCTACTGCAGACTAGCGCATGTGACTCAGGTTGAGAAAGAGTGGCTGGTGACTTTGGCCACCATAAACCCGGGGGAAGTGGACTACGAGGTGGCTGGCGACAGGGGATTCGGAGAGGCTGTAAGACATGCTTGGCATCGAGATGGATAGAATGTGGTGAGCTTGTTGATTCTACAGCGGCACAGGTTCCTTTTTTTACGACACAAAACCATGTTCGAACATTCATGCCGCTTGCCATGCAATGTCTATCATATCTGTCTGCTATATACATATATATATATATGTGTATATGTGTACGTAACATATATACATGTATATATGCAACATTTTTTGTACATACTGTTATGTATAGTTCAATGTAACATGATGTAGTATATATAACATAACATAGTTCAATACAGCAATATGATACAGTATTATACAATAGAATCTAACATGATGTTAAGAACTGACAGACAAAGTAATAAACCGTAACATTATGTAATTCAAAGATATTGTACGGTATTGCAAGATCAAGCAAGGTGATGTCAGACAATGTAATAAAAAGATATTGTAGAATACGGCAATGTTATGTAGGAATATAGGATAATGTAGTAGAATGTAATGCATCGTGGTACAATGTATCATGGCCGAATACAATGAAATGTAATGCCGATAAGTGTAAATACAATACCATGAAGCAATGCACGGTAACAGAATGCCGTATGACACATTTTTGAAGCGATACGGTAATATATGGTATTGCAAGGCAATAGCGTGAAATAATGTTATCCAAACGCAACAAAATGTCACATATTGTAACATGCCATGGCGTTGTTTGAAGTTTATAATGGTTCATAGCTGATATACAAAAAAATAGCCATGTTTGTCATTCAGCATACAATGTAGGAAATTAGTATATACACATATATGTATGTGTATATATATATATATATGTATATAGTCATAATCCCAGACATACATGCATGCATAGATACATGCATTCGTACGTACATGTATATATATATATATGTGACCATACAGTCTATGTATATATATATACACATAAACACGGTTTGTGCTATTGATTTGCAATATGCAACACATAGCGTATTCATTCAAGATACATGTAGATATAACAAGCATGACGAAATATTTAGAGCATATCTGTCTATGTATCCATCTATTTATCTATGTATCAATCCATCCATGTTTTTATATATCTATCTATCTATCTGTCTAGCTATTTACCTCTCTATTTATCTATTTATCTATCTATCTGTCTATCTATCTAGCTAGCTAGCCAGCTATCTATTTATCCATGTGTGTGTATATGTATATATATGTACACGCACCTTTCTTCTTGAGCAGGATTTCTGTCCGTGTGCGAGACGCCTGGCCAAGCAGCTGAAGGACATCTTTGACCACCGAGCCGTTCAGAATAGCTGTTTGGAAACATCCAGAAGTGCAGGGTGCATGGCTTAGAGTTTGACGTTTGGGGCGTTTAGGGGTTTCGGTTTTAGGTTTTAGGGCGGGCTGACAACACAGAGTATGTTGCAGCAGGATGGGCGTTCATGTGCCTTGTAGTTTAGCTGGAAGTTTCTCGTTGCTACATGGTGTTTGTTGGTGCTCGTTTTCACCGGACAGGTAAACCCTCACGGTGTGGAAATTTGTGGTCTCACAGACTCGGCTGAAGCTGCCTTCTTGTGTGCATCGCTAGTGGCTGAATGTTGCTGATACGTGCAGGAGCAGGAACGTCGGCGTCTTAGAGAAGCTGTGTGGGTCCGCACGCGACCGCTTTCAAACATGTATGTCTCTTGCATCACTCAGCCAGGACTGAATGTAGACCATGCACTAGCACCGAAGCTCCTCCGTGCTTGCAGCCACGACGTACATCCATGGCGGGCTCATGAGTGCCGTGACTTCCTCCAGATCTCTCAACCTTTTGAATGCCAGCACATCTAAATCAGCATTGTTGGGCTCTCATGAAACCACTCACATGGTCTTGGCTTTTTTGGCAGCCTTTTTGACGCCCACATGGGGCTTAAGCACAAGGTTCCACAGTATTCCGAATTCGGTATGTTTGAAGCGACCGACTAAAACTTCATCTTGGACACGAGAGCTAGCCCCTGCTACATCGCAGCGCAGAAGGATCAGAAGGGTATGGTATATTGTACTACAATACAATAATAAGTCTAGTATCAGTATAACATAATGTACTATAAGATGATGCAACATATCATAGCTTTAAATAATCGAATATTAAAGAACATAATACAGTACATGTGATCTCGAGCCTCCACATGTTCTTCGCGGGGCCAGGGCATCCCTACACCCCAAGGCCCTAAATGTTCTAAGCCCTAGGGATTTCCTCAGCAGACTGGAAAAGGTGCTCAAAAAAAGGGCCCCTAATAGCATCATGAAGTCCGGTCGCTGCCAAGGTGTCTCGTTGTTGCACGTGACATGTCACTGCCCAGGAGCTGAGATCGTCATCGCACTGACTCATATGCTGAACACCCAGTCTTCGATTCCGTTTACAAAGAGTTCATGCAATTGCTTCCGCAGTGTTCCTGCGTCGTAGACTCGATCAGACCAGGCGCGTGCCGAACGACGAGCTGCTTGCAAACGAGGCGCCGTGCTCACTGTATCTTACTTCACTGTGCCAAGCGCAGTGTTTGCCGCTTGTTGCTCCCGCGGTGGTCAGCCAGGTTCCGGAGGTGGACATCATACTCGGTCGCTGCCCTGGCACCTGCGAGCAAGCTTGTGAATGCTCACACCTTGGCAGTGTGCCTGAGGTGGGCATGACCACCACTACGACGTCAAACCTGCGCGTGGCCCAGACGAGGGAATTTACCAGCACGTCACGCATTCCCTGTTAGGTCGGACCGCACGGCACTTATGCCGTGACCCCAGAATTGGGGGAAATCGTAGTGCTCTGTCTCGAGGTTGGAGCCTGACTGAGGTTCTGAAGAGTGGCACTGACTTCCGAGATATCACAGCCCAGATCTCAGGATGCAGCAGAACGTTACGGGGCTCCGAAGGCCAAGCTCCGATGCCCGAGTCAAGGCAAGATCTATTTGTGGACGATCAACCATGTAACATAATAGAATGCTTTACCATGTAACATAATATAATATGTTACAGTACCATATAGTCTGTTATAACATAATATCAACAAATATAATGTGTTATGATATAATATGACATACTACAACATAAGGTGATGTAGTACAATACAGTACAATATCCTATCATACTATATATAATGTGATATAGCATATAGAATATAGTATAATAGAAGATAGTATAAGATGATATAATATAGTACTGTATAGTCCGATATAACATAATGTAGTAACATAATATGTACAGGGTGGGTTGGAACGTTGCCTTTGCCATCTCAAGCATGGCTTCATCGGCCAGAAGAGTGCGCAAAGGTGCTGCAGCTGGAGTTCACGGATTCCACTGAGAGCGGCAGCAAGGCCTTCGAGGCCCCATGTATAATGTTGCTGCAAGCTGAGAGCCTGCGCGCACTGTACGACTGTCATCATCTGATCTTCGTGTGGGATATTTAGGTGCGAGCTGCTTTCTGTAGCTCCTGTTTGAGGCTTTCAGGCTTGCGGCTTCCTGGCCTTCATGTATAAACCAACCAACCACCACGAGAATTTTCCTCCGTCAACGGCCTTCGATATCAAGCGGTGGGAACTAACATGCGAACCGGAGCCTCCGACGCAGAACAGAATTCAACTATTTGCATCTGGAGAACACTGACGCGTTCCATCAAAGGACTGTCACAGTATTGATGTTAGCCGCGTTCAGCGTAACTGACCTCCTCGTGAACGTGACTGTCGCACTCAACATGACATCCTGTAAACCCTAGACCCTAAGCCCTACACCCTAAACTCCAACAGACATCGACAGACTGACAACCAGATGTGGAGACGGACGGGGACATCACAAAATGGATAACGATCAACTGGTGCATCCCGTCGATGCGATGCATAGATCAGGGGGTTGCGAACAGAAAGTTGCCTGCTGCCGGATTCCCACTCTCGGCTGTCCCCAGCTTGTGTTGCTGAACTACCGTTTTCAATTCTTGTGTCATGTGCATATATATATATATATATCTATCTATCCATCTAGATACACCTACACCTACATTATAAGTAAATAAATTTGCGCTCACACAAATGCAAACGAACGCTGTGTCTGCATCTGGAAAAGAAACGGACCGCACCGGTCATTCGAACGGCTTGGAGTTTCGGGCAACTGTGGGATCAAAACACTGCCAATCGTCTGCTTTGGGATAAAGGCAATGCCCGAAGGCCCCCTGTGAGGTTCCACATCAGGAGTTGAATCGAGTTTGGGCCACTACTCGAAACCCTAAACCCTAAACCCATGACCCTAAACCGTTTGTTGAGACCTCTTCATCTTCAGACTCCGGTTCTGATCCAGTACAAGTCTTGGCGTGCTCCTCCTACTGGAGGACACGACAAGTCGCGAGACATCTTTTCCCTTGTCCACTGAAAACGTCTATGGTGCCGATGCAGGTCATAGATCACAAGCACGTGGAGATCGACAGCAGCATCGTTGAGGCAAGCTATGTTTGCCTGCGCCACTCAACCAGTGGTGCGGTCCGGGCATTTGAGAGCAGTATGCTGGTCCATGCAGGGTTCGGAACCATGATGAAACAGAGACATTAGCATGTCTTCTCAGGCTCCCTTGGCTCACATGGTCCCTTGCCTGTCGTATTCAGAGTTTTAGGTCCAATATTTCAGCCAATGAGCAGCGTCACACATCGTTTCAGACCAGAAGTCAAATTACGCAGCTTCAGCTCAGACTGTCAGATGCCATGACCGCAAGTCGAGAAAAGCCTGCGCTTGGAGCAATTAGCTTGACTTAAAGCCCTTCGGCAGCTATGGGAGTTTTGAACTCGGAGGAGCAGGCAAGGTTGCGCCAACCGCATCTCCATCTGTGAAGTCGAAGCTGTGTTCATGTGTTTACAGTCCCCAAGCCTGCTGCTAGACGCACCAGGAGAAGCGCCGCGATGCACTCCTGCAACTTCGCTATGCTGAGGATGAGGGCCGACTGATGATATCTGTGGCAATTCCGTCCTGTCATGCTAACTTCAACAGTTTTTTTCTGCAGAGCTGCGACATTGTGAAGGAGAGCCTTACTTCGGAGACATGCCAGGAAGTCAGACACCTAGCTACATGCATCTGCATGCGGCATCCGCGATAGCTATTCCGGCAGCCACGCTGTGGGATCTGGTCTCTCCCTCCTCCTTCCCTCCCTGCACCTACGCTTCGCATGCAGTTCCACATCTTGATTTGCTAGGTCCTCGATGCGGCACAGAAGGCGCGCCTCGAGTCTGTGAACGTGTTGGTCCAAATCTAGTCTTGCTTGCAGGGGCATACCGGCGGGTCTAGTTCAAGACCATTCTTCGACTAATAATTCTTATTATTAATAAACTGTATTATGTATAATACATGTTAATTAGACTATTCCACTATATATTACTATATTGCTATATTGTACTGTAGTATTAGACACCGAGGAGGGACCTCTTAGATCCTGGCACTGTCAGGCCATGATCCTCTACCGGGAGCTCGGTGACGAACAGAGTGCGGCCGACGCTGTCAAGGCGAAGCCCCAGGGAGTCGAATATCTGGGTTTAGGGTTTAGGGTTTAGGGGGTTAAAGGTTTAAGGGTTTAAGGGTTTAGGGGTTTTGGGTTTAGGGGTTTTGGGGTCTAGGGTTTAGAGTGGGCTTGATTTGGTGGGTTTTGACTCTTGGTGCCCGTGAGTCCGAGCCTTGCCTTGGACTTGGCGCTCTCCCTGTCTCCCTCCTTCTCGGTCTCCCTCCCTCCCTTTCCCTCCCTGCTTACTTGAGGTAGGCTTCCGTGTAGAAGTTCAAAGATACCAAATAAGCTGCGGGGTCTTGGAAGGGGATCTGGGCAAGGACAACGACAAGCCAGCCATGTTGCAGTTTTAACATGCTGTCAAAGCAGGACCCGAAGACAGCAACAAGACGCCCCTCCTGGAACCGGTTGTTCGATTGTCGAGTGGCTGAACGCTTAAATACAGGCTGTCATTGCTGCCGTGGCAGTCCGCGAGGGGGAGGATGCGGCGCTTGGTTGGTTCTGTCAATGTCGTGCAGCCACTGCGTCTCCTTGATGAAACCCTAAACGTCTAAACCCCGAAACTCTAAATCCCTAAACCCTTTTCGGATGTTGCAGATACAAAAAGGCACTCAGAAGAACCTAAGCCCTGGACCCCAAACCGTCCCCTGCCTACATTCCGGAAGGACAAAGCATTATCATCAGCGAAGATGCACATGGAAAACTACCAGAGGACAGGAGACAAGTGCGGGGAGGTGCAGTCCTTACGAATGCTTCGCTGTGGACGTAGGGTTTAGGGTTTACGGTTTGGAGGATCTAAGTGACAGGGCTTTCCACTCTTTCTGTGGTTCACATGTTTGTTTCGATCCATTCATGTCAGCGCTTCGTTTTGTTAGGGTGGTCGGTTTTGGCCTGCTGGCTTTTGAATGGAACCGCCAAGCCCTAAACCCTGCACCTTTAACCTGAGGCGACCATGAAACTCGCGTTGGCCAATGTCTACCTGGAGGCGAATCGTCTCCAGGACTGCTACAAGGGGCCTTCATGACGGGGACAGGGTTCCTTTATGTCTAATTGAACCAGCCTGCGCCCGTGCAATGCCTTACTTATGTCAGGACCACGCTTGGGCCACAGTGGCGAATGCCATGTTGGCTCAAGCTGATTGTATCCCTGCACACGTATTGTCGAAAAAAACACTGTTTCGCTCTCCTTTGCTCGCCATGACCGCACCAGCTACCCCCGCTGATGCTTGGACTGTTGCAAGGGAACTGCGGGAAATTGATGGTGCCGCGATCTTGGCGCCCGTGACGACCGATGCCAATGACGATGGGGCAGAGATCGTCCAGAATGTGACCAGGGACGATGTGTATGCCAAGTAGGAGGAGACGCAAAAGACGGCACTTCCGCCCCGGGTCTGGGTGTGGCGGCCTCCAGCACCAAGGATGTTGACATGACCAGGGTCATGTTGACATGACCCGGGGGAGGGTAGGGAGCCCTTGACCCCGAGCCGTCCCCTGGCGGGCAAGGCTGTATCAACACAGGCCTGACCAAGGGAGCAGATGGTCTCCTGGTGGTACAGGGCATGTTGGCCCCGACATGCCCATTGACGAGGCCTAAGCTAAGCCTGGCGGAGCGCTACATCCTCGGAGTTACACGATTCCAATTGGGATTCAGCGCTCGGTTTTCGGACATCCAACACACGTCCCCTCTGAAGCTCAACATGACCAGCAAGCCCATTGAGCTGATGGCGTGGCAGACCAAAACGGTGTCGGCTTACAAGATCAAGTACTCCTTTACGGGGGTCGACTGGCCACTTGGACTAGCCTGGCGGCCATGGACCAGTTCAAGGACATGGACCACATCATCCCCACGATCTCCAAGAGCTTTCGGGGTTTTATTCTCCGCCCAGGGGAACCAGACCGATCCCTTCGCGCCCTGAAGTCGGCTCTGATCAAACTGAACGTTCCCAAAAACCTCGTGGACTCCCTCACGTGGCACAGCTTCCGCGTCTTCATCCCCGATTGCGCCTTCCAGCTCCATGTCCCCAGGACAAGCGGCAGTAGCTGGGAAACTGGATGGTTGAAAGCACAGCGGACATCCACACGAGGGAGAAGAGCAACGTTGTGGTGTCCATTTGGGAACAGGTTGCCTCCAGGCTCCCAGACCTCAATCTCAGGGGTAAGAGAAAGGTTCTGGAAGACTTGAACCACCCAGACTGGGATGACCAAGGAGACTGGGAGGAACATGTCGGGGCCTGGGAGCCGTTGGCCCCGCCAGCCCCTGATCCACCAAGACGAGGCTAACAGATTTGTTCAACTCTCCCACCGAGATGCGCCCGACACCTTCAGATCCGACCAGGACACGACTGGTCCAGGATGGCATTACTGAGGTACAGAAAGTCGCGCCCCCCAGTGGTCTGCCCGTCCAAGGCAGCACGCGGATCCAAGGTTGTCAGGACACGCTTCACGACTCCGACGAGGGTCATGGTGGGCGCTGTGACTGGGACCCAGGACCACAGAAGATCAGCGTCCTGGCCAAACAGGATTGTGTGAGGGAGCCCGGAAGCGCCCTGTTCGTCGGGCTCAGCCCAGGCGGCTGGCTTGAGTCACAATGGCGAATGCCATTTTGGCTCAAACTGATTGTGTCCCTGCACACGTATTTTCGAACACCCGCCCACCCATCCCCTCATGGGGGATGAAGCTCCGCCCGCTGAGGTCCCGGAGGGTCAGAAAGTGCATACAGGCCAATCTTGCTGCCGAGGGTTACGTCGCCTTATAGAGGACCTCACGTACCGCTGGGACACTGCGGAGGCAATGCGCCAGCGGAGCTGCAGGTTCGCCAAGGAGACCGCGGCTTTGCGGAGACGAAGTCAAAATTCACAACCATGAGGCTCATGCAATGTGTCATTCAGGCGAAGCAGCTTGTGTAGTTTTTCCCCGCCCCCCCAACCAGCACTGAGTGCCGTGGGCGCCGTTAGCGCTGGCCCTAAGGGCCTTGGAGGGGCTTTGTGACCGAAGCAACTCCTCGCAGACTCGAAAAAGTTGCACGGAAGCCGCCCTCCGGCGCTTGAGTGCCAGGGCAGTGATGCGTACCTGAACAAGCAATTCCGCCGCTCCTTTTCGGGGGGAGATTGGCTGGTTCTCCTCCAAGCAGTCGAGCCGGGCAGAGGACAAGAGAGGAAGGGCTCCCTGCTTGGGTGCCTTGGGCCCCGAAAGGGTCCAGGAATCCGTGCCAGCACAGCGCGGGGTGCAGGGCACCAAGGGCAGAAAAGGTGCCCATCTCGGAACTGTGGTGGCCCCCAAAGGCACCAAGGCGTGGATCCAATCGCACCTCCCTTGGCCAAGGACCGAGGAGTTCCCGGATCGACTTTTAAAAAAGACTCCAGTGGACGCAGCCGACCACACAGATCAGACCTGGCCAGGACATTATCCTGTTGCTGTTTGCAGGCAAAGATGATGCATCATCACTTGATTCAGTCCGGAGCGTTTGGCCCCGACTCGCTCGGGGGACCCTCTCGGATTGCCACCTTCACACTTCCGCTCGCAGTGAAAGGAAGGAAGTGCAGGTGGTTACTCTCGGGTTCCGTTGTGCTTGTGTTTGCTGACATTAAAGGTTTCATGAGCGCTACTAACCGCTACTGTAAGCTTTAGGGTCTTAGAATAAGGACCTCAACCCTCTTGAACTATAGTCTACTATATTTATAAAAGGACTTGACGGGGACGTTTTGACTCAAGTTTAAGCCTTAAGCTCTGTTCTTTTTAGTCCCCCCATCAGCGGCAGACAGGATGCTCTGCGATGGGCCATGGAAGCTCAGGAGGAGTTCAAGGTGCCAGTTTTTGTAGTTTTTTCGTAGGGTTTAGGGTTTAGGTTTCGAGGTGTAGAGTTTAGGGGTTTAGGGTTTAGGGTGTCGGGTTTCGGGTTTCCAGCGCATAAGCTACAGTGATGAATTGAAGGCATCTCAGCTCGCGGAGAAAGAAGTGTCTGCTTTCCTGACCATGGCGCGGGCGCAGCCCTCAAAAGCAAAGTCTCTGTTGAAGATTTCAGACTGTCTGGCTTGCACTGGAACGGCGGCACAGGGCTAATTCTGTGTACATGCCGTTACGTTACTTGCCTGTTTGAGGCTCTTCTGGCCAAGTGCGATGCGACTGAAGCCCTGCAGCATCCGCCCCAGGAGCAAACTTGCACTACACACGTACGCTATCGTCCGTGCAGACACGCTTAAGCCGAAGACACCCGCACGCGGAGACGGGGACATGCGGACAGACAGACCGGCTGGCAGAGAGCGAAAGAGAGAGAGCGAGAGAGAGCTACAGAGACCAAGAAAACAGCGAACCAACGGGAACAAACGTGTGTTACAACTGTTACATGTGCGTGCGACTGCATTGTTCAAACGGTCCGGCAGTCGCTGGTGCATGCCCCTTCTTCACGCCGGTGGCACTGACATGACAAACCATACTTGGGGCTTGAACATTTCAACATGTAGCTCCTGTTCCCCGTAGCAGTTTCTGCAAACAACCCTCTCGGAAACAGCTTTTGGTAGAAGTTCGATACAAGACAAGCATTCCACGTCCGTGAGGAGGGTTTTTTTTGCAGAAACGGAATGGCAGCTTTGGGGGTTTGGGCTAAGGACGTCGCAGAGAGCATTGGCCATTGCAGAAGAGGTGCTCCAGCGGCCACTGCCCAAAAACATCCTTCCTAAACCCTAAACCTTCAAGATCGCCCCGGCAGGTTGGGGATATGCGAGGTGAGGCGCTGTCCCTTCAGTGCTTGGCCAAGGCCAGGGTTTCGGGGTTTTGGAGACGTGTCGGAAGGCCCGTTGCTTGGTCAGAGTCCTGGGTCGCAGGCTTTGTGCCAGAGCTCAGAGATCAAAGAGGCCATCGATGCTGCGGGGGCCTTAGGAGCTCCGGAGTTCACCAGCATGCGCTGTGCCCCTCTCTAAGACACTCTCCAAACCCCAAAACCCTAAACCCCCTAAACCCCTAAACCCCTAGACCCTAAACCCCAAACCCTATACCCTAAACCCCCTTAAACCCCCTAAACCCGATAAACCTTATAAGCCCTACAAGCCCTAAACCCTAAACCCTAAACTGTAAGACCCTCTCAAGCTCGGACCCCCGGTACCCAGAGCCTCAAGTCGAGATGCGACGCCTGCCAGGCCAGAAAGTCTCTCACAATCTTTCGCCAGTCCTCGGATTACAAGCAGCAGGCGAGAAAGACCCAAAGAGCACTCCTGCAGAAAGCAGGTTTATGAGATGTCTTTTGATGCAGTCTAAAATGATATGATATGATATGATGTGATATGATCTGAATATATTATGTTACAATATATCTTAGTTTAATCTACTATATTGTAGCACACTCTTGTCTAGCATAGTATAGTATAGCATAGCATAGCATAGCATAGCATAGTATAGTATAGTATAGTATAGGATAGGATAGGATAGTATAATATAGTATAGTACAGTAGAGTAGAGTAGAGTATAGTATAGTATGGTATAGTATTCTATAGTATGGTCGTCTAGAAAAGTATAGTCTAGCACCTGGGATAGTCTAGTCTAGTCTTGTCTGGTCTAGTATAGTATAGTATAGTATAGTACAGTATAGTATAGTATAGTATAGTATAGTATAGTATAGGATAATATAGTATAGAACAGTACAGTATACCATCGTTGATACTTGCAGGCAGCTTCGCTGCTCGCTGTGGCGTCGATTCATTTGGTCCGGCAGCGGCCGCAAGATGCACTTCGCAGTGCCAAGGCCCAGCGATTGGGTCGCCTTTAGAAGGGGCTTCGATACTATACAGCATCGTATACTAAAGCATACTATATTATTATATACTGCCTTATCTTTTGAACTATATCATATTATATTACACTACAATGACTTGTGCGCTCTTATATCATATGGGTTAAGTGATACTGCAGTGTGGTATATTCTTTTATACTATACCTCGTTATAGTATATTGCATGCGTCCCCACAAGTGGCCCAGGATGCACAGCACCTCTCGAAGCGCATCGGCGATTCTCGAGGTTGGACCAGCCCCCTAGGTTTAGTGTGTTCAGGGTGTAGTTTTTGTGTTTCTCAGTATTGCTAGACGCGGGATTTGGGGCCCAATTTGGGGCCTATATTATCGCATTAGTATAATTTCCAGTGTTGTTAGCATGGGGTTTTTGGGCCTCAGGCCGTACTGCCAATGCCAAGCCATGCGACCTGAAGATCGATGAATGGGTTACGGGGACCTCTATTTCTGGTTTCTTGTTAAGGACTTTACTTTGAGTTACCATAGTAATGAAGCCATGCTATTGACTTTCGATCCGTACTCGGACAATTTTCAAGTAAGTTTCTCAG